TTTGCTTGTGTTTGACTATGTAATCTGCATACGCATCTAGTTGGTATATTTCTCTAGCGTAGCGCTCTTCTAAATCACACATCTCAACAAAGTCTCCAAAGGTAATTTGTTTCTCTAGGGCCTTCTGTGAAGATTTTGATTTTTCTCGTTTTTCTTTCGTCTTCTCGTCATCATCGTCATCATTATAGGAATCCAGAAACGACTTCTTGAAAACCGAAAGAGGGACATAAGCTCTAAGTCTTTTGAAACCTTTGTCCCATTTGCGGGGCAAATCTGGTAAATCTGCCGAATCGAAGTCTAACAAGTCGAAGCCGAGCTCGGCCTTCTTTGCTTTCTCTGATTCGTCCGAACTAGAGTCTTCCTCCGAGGATGATTTTTCAGAAGCTGATTCTGACATATCTGATGGAGGGCTTTGAGACTTTTTCTTTTTTGACTTTCCTTTCTTCTTTCTCTTCTTCTTAGAAGCATCTGAGTCGCTCGAAGAGGAGGATGAATCATCACTTGGTAAGTCTTTCTTCTTGGACTTTTTCTTCTTTGGTTTCTTCCTTGATTTCGAAGTCTCTGAGTCTCCAGAAGAGGATTCCGAATCTGAACCTCTCTTCCTTCCAGCCTCTCGCTTCACTCTGTTGATCTCACAGGGTTGTCTGTCTTCGAGATTGTCCTGAGTAACCACAGGTCTAGAGCCTGATATTGCTGCCAACAACTGGCTGGACTTGTCTAGAGATGTTCTCAGAGTCGGATCTGGATTCGGTCCTGGTCGATCATAGTCCATTGAAACCATCGCACCAAACTGGTCGTTAAAGCTGTCCACCAGTCTCCGGGCTGTTGGGCCATCCTTCGCATCTAGAGCATGCGTTAAAGCTTCCAGAATCGCTCTGCTTCCTGAGCCTGCTGAGCTAGACTCTTGATTGAATTGCCTGAAGGCTACATCAAAAAGGAGTACAACGCAACCAACTATGTGAGTATCTTTGTCTACAATCACTCGAGCAAGATTGGTACTGAATAACAAAAATATGTGACCATTGACACAGGCAGCATGTATGTTCGTCCACTCATCAAACCAGCATATCATCAACACTTGTCTTGCACTGCAACGACTTGTCTGACTGACGATCATCATCTTTCTTAGGGCGCATTTAGCAGCACCTTACTGCGCTCTTAGCTGCAGTCGTCACTATACTGGAATTGAATCCACTGGTCCTCCTCCTACACACGGCGCTTTAAGCAACCCAGGATCATCAGACAGTTATGTCTTACGTCGCTTAAGCAGCCTGCACATCACATGGAGACTCATGCCACACAATGCGCCAACGGCAGCCCACCACCATACACCAAGGTTATGCACCTGTATCAAGGTCCAGGGAATTATCCTAGTCGAAAAGACAGGGAAACTGAAAGGAAATGAATACGAGTTATAATAAATCTGTAACACACCCTCTATTGGTACGCCTTCTACCAACTTCACAGGGCCTTTCCCCTTCTTGGAATCCTCCAACCGACGCCTTTCTGCTTCTCGTCTTAACTCCATCTTTTCTAATTCTCTCCTCTTGACCTCCTCAGGCTTAACGTCTGCCGTGTCTGACTCGGTATCTTCAGGAGCACCACTTTCGTCTTCCTCAACTCCAACATCTTCGTGTTCCGCTTGAGGTCCTTGACTTCCAACCAGGTTATCTTGAAGACTTCCTCGATCTCTTGACTTCGGAATCCTGGAAAGTGCTCTTCTCTGACGTTCCTCTGCCTGCTCCTTCTCCTTTGCCAACTTAGCTAACTTCTTCTCTTCTTCTTGTTTAGACGTTGAGACCATTTCTTGACGATGATTCTTCTCTTCTAAAAGTTTTTCTTTAATATTCTTGTTCATCCAAGAAAATTTGTGAACTTAACTTGTTGATAGATGTCTAATTAAAAAGGGGTATGAATGCGAAAGAATAAGAAGCGATAAACCAAAAATTCAAAAAAATTTCCTAAGAAATTCTATAAGAGTTTATGAGGAAAAGGAAGAGATAGGTGTCTAAAGGAGAGTGACTACTGAGATGGACGTTTCCAAGCGTGAGGAAAAAATTTTCCTACTCGACTTGAGAACGAAACGCCACTACTCTGTGGTTGCGCTACCCGAGCACCTGCCCGGGTCGCTGACTCTCCCGACACCTCCCATACCCGTTGTACTTGGACTATATCTTACCGTCGCGCGCTTTGGGTAAACTATCATTTAGAGTTTGAGTTTACCGGTGATAGAAAGGTATGATTGACTGATTGATTGTCAAATAAAATTGTGAAATTGTGAATTATGGCAGTGAGGATGATATAAAAAAAGTGTATATTGTATTAATCATGTATAATATATAATATAATTATGTATAAAGAGCCAAACAAAGGGGTACAGTGTGTTTTCAGCCATAGCACCGGATATCACTGGATATCTGCCAGTTATATCTTCTGGTTATTGGGTCAAGTGTTGGAAGAGATTTTTTTCAAAAAAATCCAATCTGATTTCCTCTGACGGGTCTGGATAGAAATTTTATCAGGCGGTTTGGTGATTAGAATGACCTGAACACACCAGATCTTGGCCTGAGCTCACCTTGAATTCTTAGCCCATTTTAATGTATGTGATCTTTTTAAATGATGTGTTGATTTAATTTGATATTGATTCTTCTTCATATATAGCATTTTTAGCAATTTTGATTTTTTCTGTTTTCATGTTTTTGTGGATTACTGTAGTCCATTAGATTCTTTGTTATTTTCTGATTATTTCCATGACCCCTAACAATACTTTTGGGATGATGGGTGTGTTGAAAAAGAGTTGTAAATGTTGTCAAAGATCTTTACAGAACACAATTACAGGTTATAAAACCATATTACACATTTTACATATGTGAAAACCCATGATGTAACTGAATTTTGTCTCATATGTCAAATTTGAAAGCTGATGTTGACTTTCTTCTTCTTTCTCTTCAAATAAACGTTTCACTACTTGTCTGATACTAACAAGGTTGATATTGTAAATTATCAAACCACCTCTTCCGCATCAAATGAAACCATGGCCAGACCCATACAATTAAAAAGAGTGTACATATAAAGTCTATTTCAACTAGTTTTTGACTTTCAATTTCATATCTTCTGTTCTTCTGTTCTTCTTTTCATATTTAATTATCAAAGTAAGTTCCTTGAACTTTCTCCTATATAGTTGAAGCTTTTTGTTAATGTTTTGAATCTTTCTTTGCACTAATCTTCTCCTAATTTTTTATATTTCAATTCCATAACTTTCCCTTATACCCTTTTTTGTCAAACTCCTTGTGCCTCTCTTGTCCCTTTTTTAGCCTTTCTTCTTACAACCTCCCCTACCACAAAGGCCATACCTTGTATAAAGCAACTCCTATTGCAATAGCAAACCACCCGGGTAACAAAAGCTGCATGCTTCAAACCACTCTCCATTATACTCATTACTATGACAAAGGACTCCCACATTACCCTTTGTGGCTGGTCAGACAGAATGGGAAACAACCACCTAGGTCTTGTTTCCTCAATTGGCTGAATGAAATCATTGACGGTTCAAGATCTGGTCATTTGTTATGAGCAGGAGGTGCTACAGGTTATGCTCAAGGGTGAATGGAAATGGACACCATCCAAGCCATTGTACAGTGGTCAACAGAGGCCTTCAAAACCTACATCCACACTCACAAAATCTTGAACCTAAACAAAACTCAACACATCAATCAAGTAGCTGGTTTTATCACAGGAGAATGAGTCAAGTTTCCAGGAGCTGTTCTTGTCAGCCTTCCAAATTACATGAAATCAATCAAAGATCACGAAAAGTCTGAACAATCTTTATAAGAAGCCATGCAGTTCCACTGACATCTTGCTTTCATTTCCTCTCCACAGCCATGAGCCAGCTGGGAGTGATAATAACCATCTGACTAGGTTAGTCATGGGCATCATTGAGTAAGTTGCAGTGATATGAACCACAATTCTCCATGCTAAGTTTCAAAAATCTTTCATTACAGGATTTTGTCATAGGGTCCTTGTTCTGACAAACCTCCTAGAAAGATTCCTTCTTCCTCAAGAGTGCTGTGAAAACCACATTTTAGGAGAACAGTTAGTATCTTTTAATCACAATTCACATCAGTCATCATTAGTGGCTAACATGAGATAAATATTCACTCAAATCATCATGAAACACAGGCATGTGTATAGAGTCCAACAGCTTTGTTTTTTTTTCGTTAAAAAAATCATATACTCTATACATTACAAGGGTGGTTAAAAGTTGGGTTTGATCTATGTACATTCTTCCGCTTTGTCCATGTTTGTGTCTGTTTTTCTTTTCTCAAGTTTTATACATCATGCTAATGACACAGCAAGCTTGCCTCAGCGGCCACTAAGCGTGAACACATGAATGGAAAAGGTGGGTAGCTTGCTTGACCCAAGAAGTGGTCCGACCCGAGAGCCTGGGTGGCTTGTCATACTCATGAGAGGTTGCAGGAAATCTCAAAGTTGAGTTTTCCACAACACCTTTCAAAATACCGTGTATCCCAAGTCCTCAGCACACTAGCCACCAGCTCTCAGTAAACAAGTCAACTACAAATTTTTCTGTCCTACTAGACAATTGAGTCGAGGATGCATCAACTAGGATTTATTGTAACCCCCTCACACTGAAATGGGAGCGTCGCGCGAGGTTTTGGGAGGCTCTCCTTGCGATGCACAGGCTGTTGGGATGTGCAAACTGTATCCTGATACCAGATGAGTGATTGGGAACGCTTCATTTGGACCATTCTTTGTTCTGAAACACCTCCTGCATTGTTAGAGAGCTTGTCATACTGGGCTTTGGCAATGTCGAGTCATTTGCCACAACCTCTCATATAAATCGTCGGATTTGAAGTGCGCAGACAGCCATCAAACATAGCGGACTTGTCCAACAACACTCTTTTCCTTTCTGCCTCTGCTACTCTGATTTACGCCACTGCATATCATTCTTTCCTGCTGCCAATCAGCGGAGTGTGTATTGCAGCATGGATAAACAGTCATCTCATGTCGATTTGCCTGCCGAGGATTCTCAAAGTCTTAGTGCTTCATTGGCATCGGACTGTAAGACCCAGCCTCGATTTGTTGCGAAAGAACGAGCAACCCTGGAAGCGCTGGGCGAGGACGACCACGACAATCAGGCCGCCTGGAAAGAGAAGGCATTCAAAGTGGAAGATGTGGAGGGAGTGATGGAGTACCTCCGTCAGGCGATCGAGGATAACGAGTAAGCAGCCCATCCATCCCTACTGACTCACCACTCAAGCTTCCAAAGAACTTTGAAAAACACGAACTCAACTGCCCTTCGGAAACTGTCGCTTCAGGGATGATCTGAATTTTCCAAGCGCCCTGCTCCATCAGGCTGCGGCAGTCCTGAGACCTGGAGTGCCAGCTCCAGACATAATCAACCTTGCAGAAGCCATCTGCGCAGAGCTCGAACTTGCGCAAGAGAACTCTCCATACCCTGAGGTAAACCTCTTTTATTTCAATGGTACTCTAGCGCAATAGGCATCCCTGACCTGGAGGTGTGAATTTGAAACAGGTCCGGTCTTGTGTTGACCCATTTGACGATCCCACGATACCAGTCCTCACATTCCGGTTAGTTTTACAGCCATCTAGTCAAGGAGGGTCATTATTTACTATGCTTGACTTCAGGATGTGGACAATCGGTATCCTGCTAGTATGCATAGGTACCGGTGTGAATCAATTTTTCGCACAGCGCATGCCAAGTATTGGACTAAGCGTCACCTCGGCACAGCTGGTGGCTTATCCGCTTGGATGTACGTTGCTTTAGTGGTTCCCGCTCGTTATGCACTCTGGTTTCTGATGATTCACACACAGGTATGATGGCCAGATACCTACCAAAAAACGTCATCCGTATTCAAAATCACTCATTCACGCTCAATCCCGGCCCTTTCAAGTCAGAGTTTTCTTCCCATCATTTGGAAGACAGCAAGATCATTTACTTATACCATATTCTGTTTGCATCAGTATGAAGGAACATATGCTAATCAGTATTGTCAGTCGTCTTATACTCCTCAGACGGTATGTTAAGCGGAAGATTGATATTTCTCTCTGATCATAGATGGCCAATGTATCGTTTGGCGGAGCGTTTGTGAGTTTGAAACAATGCCCAAGAAGAACAAGAATCTAGACTTAATTGGTCCAACAATGGCTGGTATTACTTCTGCTTGCCATAGGCGACCGACATCATTGCCGTGCTTAGAATCAAGCGGTTCTTCAACAATTCTGCTTTGGCTGAAAAGATTGGCTTTCAATTGACATTGGTGTTGAGCTCACAGCTGATTGGGTATACTTTAGCTGGTATGACGAGAAAGTAAGTGTCTTTGCCCTATGCTCACGGCCAGTCGCTGTGCACAATGTAAATATTGTCTTTGAATACGGTCTCTAGGTTTCCCGTTTACCCACCAGCCATGGTAAGCTCCTCGTTGCCGTCAATGATCCTTGTGAAGAACTTTTCATCTGATGATTAAGTATGTTTCAAAGGTTTGGTGGGGCAGCCTTTCGGAAATTTCGGTCCTGCGAGCCTTACATTCGACGGACAAAAACCAATCTGTTAATGGATGGCGCATCTCGCGATTACGATTTTTCTTTATCTGTGCGGTAAATCCGACATTACTTGTGTTTCTATATTGTCACTTTCCACTGATGATATTCAGCACTTGACTTGCTGCTCAGATTGCGTACGGAATCTGTCAGTTGCTCTCTTCGTAGTATTAAGGCAGCAAGAATATGTCTCACAGACTTGTTTTTGCCCTGCAGACTACATACTACCAGGTGTCTTCTTTCAAAGTCTCTCATTTTTCAAGTATGTGATATCTCACGAATGTACACTGGTTTTCGCTAGCTCTGATGCATTGGAAGTTAGCTGGACAACATGGATTGCACCCCACAACGTCAAATTGTCTCTGATAACAGGAACTGTCAGCGGTCTTGGTCTTAACCCCGTACCTACCCTCGATTGGAGTTTCATGGCTCTGGATCCGATTATTATACCACTTTGGTCCATTGTAGGTTTTCAAGTCTCCATTCTGGTGGTTGAGATATATATCAAACGGCAACTCTATCCTCAGATAAACGTGTACGCGGGGGCTTGTGGTGGCTTCTTGGCTATCAGCGCAATATACTTTAGAAACATCAGATTCACGTCCTATTTGCCTATCAATACATGGGGTTAGTCTTTATTCTGGCTCTTCTTTCCCTCTTTTACAAAACTGATGGGTGTTTCATTATACCAGGTGTATTTGATCAATACGGGTATGCTGATGATCTCTATGACTCTACAGCCAGCTCATATACATAAATCTAATTTTTCTTCTATCCCATGATCAGAGCTCCGTACAACACTAGCATGGTCCTTGATGGTTCAGGTATCCTTGATCAGGTTAGCTTGTCAAGCATCCGCAGAACTGATACCAGAGGCAATTATCTAACGATACTGTAAGTAGGCCCAGTATGAAGCGTATTCACCTCCTTATATGTCGGCTTCCGGGATTGTGTGGTGAGTATGAAGCCATTTTTCAAAGATTTCCGTCAACAAGGTTGATTCTGGGAGGGTTACTCATGAGAACTGTTTGCGATCCTTGCTAGCTACACCGTGTTCTTTGCATTGTACAGCAGTAATGTTGTTCACGCAGCGCTGTATTACCGCAGGTATATTATGTCTGGATTTTCTCACCTTTTCTCTTCATTCCAAGTCAGCTACATTTTCAAGAAGTTGCGAAGAACCAACGGAGAGAGGCGTCCAAAATCCAGCATACAAGAAGATACAATGTATGGCGGCGTCCACTGCCGCCTTATGCAAGCGTATCCCGAAGGTTCGTGCTCATTTTCCTGTCCATGAGTCTCGGACTTATTGAAGTTTTCTTCTCCTTGATCCACTGTAGTGCCTGAATGGTGGTTCATGCTTGTTGGAGTTGTCTCCATCATGATGGCCATTTTTCTACTCAAATACTAGTGAGTGTTGTATCTTTGTTGGTTTCGCATGATTCAACTGACGTCTAGTATTCGTAAATTCATGAAGTGAATCCGCAATGCCTACCATGCCAATCTGGGGTTTGGTCAGTCTTTCGTCACTGCAAAATAAACTTTAAACGTTTTCTATCGACCCGCTGAGACTGCATTTACTTTTCCCCCCGATAGGCCTTCTCCTTCGCTATCGCTTTGGTCCTCATAGTGCCAATTGGAATCAGTAAGTTGTCTCTGAATATTGTATACATACTCATGGTTCTCATGATATCTTCGTTCATAGTGAGCGCGGTATCTTCGGCATCTGCTACACTGAATGTAAGTAACCCCCATTTCACTCAAAATCTCAAATAAGATGAGCTTTGCTGATCTGTGTGACTCCAGGTCCTGTCAGAGTTTGTGGCCGGGTATGCTTTGGTTGGCCGGTAAGCTTGTCGTATTCACGTATCTTAGCAATCATCCAAATCTGACTCGCAATCGGGGACACAAAGTCCACTAGGAGTGATGCTCTGCAAAAGTAAGCTCGCCCGAAAACTTTGCTTGCACCTACCTGAGACGAAGTTGATGCTCCCACCCTCATCCAGCATATTAAATAAATGTAAATTCGTAAAGCCCCCCCCCTTCAAGCAAAAGTTCAGCACTTATGCCTCCCCTTAGGTCTACACACATAAGTGCTGAGCTTCCGCTTGAAGGCTGGAGCCTACGAGCCTACGTTCAACTGACACCCCTACTGTTTCAGCTGCCACTGGTCGTAAAGACGACTTCCTGGCTTGCTGTTGAGGGGCGTGGGGAGTCACTTTCCCAGCATACAACCTCCCTTTTTATATTCGATTTTCCGGCTGACCCTTCAACTCACTCGAACCCGTGTCCGTTGGCCATTGGTTGCATTTGGGTATCTTCTTACCAGTTTTTGTTTGTCAATTTCTTATTCTAACCACCTTCGTACTCCATTTAACAATCTCGGCCTCTCTTTTGTCTGTTTTTGGTAGTGCTTCCATACTTCAAAAATGCCTCAAGCTTCCCATTCACGTTATCATTATCCATTACCGGCCATCACCGTTCAATCTAATATGCCTACCCACTAACCTACTACTCTAAGTCGATTTCTGTCTTAGTAAAACGTTTTCTTGGATCCTCACTTTACCATCTTCAGCTCTGTCTTTTACGTATCCTCCAAAATAATCATCTCCCCTAACTCTTCTTGGCTTCCTTTTTCACACACCTTTGTCAACCTTACATTCCCAAGGACATATGCCATCTCGCGACCTGCCTATATTAGGACTCTATCACTTAACACCTCTCATATTACTACTTAGGTAGGTAATTATCTGTAATCACTCAATCCAAGATCTCATATGTATTACCCATAAACTTACAAATCGATGTTGCTTTCCCGTTTAGTCAAGCTTTCTACTCGACTCTCCCTTGTATCTGGTTTTTTGATATCTTGATCAAGTTTTGACACTTCTCTCTTCAATTGTCCTTTGTAATTCGAAGTAGTTTGAGTGTTGACTTTTGAATTTCGATTTGTCCTTTGAAAAATTTGACACCAATCTCATCAGCAAGAACACATGGTGCACACTCCCAACCGATGAATACAAAAATCAAACAAACAAATCAACAAAAGAACAAACAAGCAAACCTTCAGAAGTAAATGACCATGCGAATGTCACAATTCAATATGCTCAGGTCTGATTCAATTTCAATTCAAAGTAACTCACCAAGTAAGTCTCAAACAAAAAAATATCATTATAGCACCGCTTTAAATCACTAATCGATCTCCCTTTTTATCTTTTCAGGTTCAACTTCCACTCAACCTCTACTATCACTTCCAATGGATACAAAACCAAACTCAAATAATTCAATTGACTTCATCAATCTCAGCATCGATCTCACAACATCATCATTCAAATCAGATACAAGTCAAAAATTGAAAATCTAATCACCAAGACAATCTTCTATCAAACTAAACAGATCACAACTTATCATGCCCTTCAACTTCATCAACTGATATTTATAAAAATATATTACCAAGAACAAGAGCATCAAGCTCATCCCATCTACCACCACCATTTCCATCACCATCAGGTACATACTATTAGTTGAACTTTCAATATACCAGTATTTGAAATTTGGTGGCAACTTGAACATCCCTATCATCTGTTTTTTTCAAGATGTTCGATTATTTGTTGTTATTTTGAGAGGAGATTTATCTTTCACTATCCTCAATCATTCCTCCAGTCAATTTTTTCAATACTTCAGTTACTGCCTCATTTTGAAATTAGTTAACTTAAATTATTACACTCTCCGCTGTTGTTTTTATTTTTGTCTTGATAAACTATATCAGCAATTAAAATCTCCCATGATTTTAACTCACTGACTGATTTTATTTATCTTGATGACTGATCAAGTATCTCAAGCATTACTTCCAAAGCCTTCAATTCCCTGTTCAAACCTCTGTGCAATCAACTTAATTCGTCTCTAACCTTTGATATTTAACCCTTGAATTTGATTCCTTCCCATATCATAATGTTCTCAAATGTTTCATTATAAAGGTATTGCTTGTTGTTCCAATCAAACATCTAATCTTGGTTTGAATCAGCCCAAAAATTACAACTATCCCTTTGTTATTTCTAAAATTCTTGACACCTTGGTTAAATTTTGTTCTTTACTACACTATCACTGATATATCTCTTCAAATTGAATTCGATATTGCAGCCTACAGTTAATGCATTCAGTTCCACTTGCCCTGGTGGTGATGTTCAATCTCAGCTGTAACATATGTCCTTCAATTGATTTGCACATCACCTTGTGGTTGTGTATGTATCTTTTACCCACTCTCTTGAGTTGCACCCAATATGAACATTTAATTCCTCTTCCATTCTGACTTTGCCCACTGTCAAATCATACACTTCCCTCTAGCTCTACAATTCATCTCCATTTCAATTGACAGTATCTATTAATGTGTTTCATTTGTCACATCCAATTTTTTCCATATTTCTTGCCTAGCAAGCAGTTTGAATGTGCAATGCACCAACAGGCTATTCATGGAGGATCAAGTGTGTAGATTGTCTAACTTTTATGCATATGACCTTCAACAGAGACTTAAGTTTCATAAAATAGAGCACTTTTCACTCATTTGATTGTTCAAATATTTGAGCTTGGACTTATTATCTTTCAAACATATTGAGGTTTTAAAGGCGGGCTGGCCCGCCTATGTTCTAGTGGGTATGTAACAACAGCACAGGCAATCGGATACGCCTCAGATATGAAAGTAAGGAAATTTTATAGCCTATCCTTTGGTTCATGCTCTGATCACGCCAATGATTTAACCATCGTTTTCCAGCTGGCTCACTACATGAAGGTGACAAAACCATTATGATCCTTCAAAAGATCGATGTGATACTTATATACGTAATCGATCAATATGTACTTTGTGGTCACCTTCTGGTCCATAAAATCCACTCCTCCCAAATAGATCCCACCCAAAGCTTTGTTCGCGGCACAGCTGTCTGGGACTATCTTGTCCTCGATCATATCCATAGCTGGTACAGTCACTTTGAAACACGACGTCCATATGATAGTGTCGGAAATCTGATCTGTTCTTCTCCTGCAGTCCTGGATTGGTAAATCGCAAACATTCCCGACTTGTGTTCACCAACCAAGTCCCTCCACTTCACCTGCCCAGGTGAGCCTCGGGGCAAACATTTCTATTTATCCCTCACTGATTGTCAAACTTATCGACAATGTCTCAATAGCCATCGATGCTTTCTTCTCCTCAAGCGTGTTATGGGGGGTTGTGGGCTCACGGCGAATGTTTACTGGACCTGGTGCACCGTACGGGTTTTGCATGTACGGATTTTTGTGAGTTCTGCTTTATTCCCATCTCAAATCCTTATAATTATACAGAACATGCCGTTTGCAACAAATCTACTGACAAATCCCAAATGGCAGAATCGGTGCCATCGCACCTGTCATTCCTTGGATATTTTTGAAGATTTGGCCTAGGTCATTGTGGCGCCTAGTACACACCCCCGTCATTTTTAGCGGCTTTGTGTGCTATGGAATTCTGAATTTAGGTTATTTTACGTAAGTACGACACAAAAATAGGCGGGAAAACAATGTTAGACCCTGAGGCTGTATCTCTGAGACCTTGCTTTGGGTTCATCAGACCCGCAATTCCACTTGCACTATTCTTTCAGCGGTACGTCAAGAAGCGGTACACCGCTTGGTATGGTACGTCTACGCTCAGATTCCTGTTCCATTCCAATATCGTAATACACTGATGAGAAAATGAGGACAAAATAGAAAAGTACGCTTTGACTCTCACCGCTGGGATCAGCTCTGGCATTGCAATTTTTGGACTATTCTATTTCTTTGCGCTCCAATTCAATGGACAAAACTACCCTTGGGTAAGGATTGGGCGCCCTCTCATTGGACCCGCTCTTGACTGAGATGAACAATGCTGACTTTTCAATGCTTAAACATCTGGAAGGTCGGAAATGTTGCGTTCCGGGCCGGATGCGACGGGTCAGTGTGCACTTTGCGGGAGGTACCACAAGAGGGCTTTGGACCCACGTCTTGGAAGTAACAAAATTCCGCTGATTTCCAAACTCTTTGGGTCTTGCCCCAGAAGTATATCTAACTTGGTATCATGAGTCAAAAATGTCACTTAGAATTGTGTATAACAGACCTTCCTTTCAAGTGGTTTGCTGCTGAGAAGTAAAAAAGGGACCTCAATAGAATACAGCAAATCATTTGAATTCATCTAAAACTACTGGAAAGTAGCAATATAGGCAATAGTTTCCGTTTTGAACTTCTTATGATTCATGTTCTTGATCCAAAGTAATTTCAAATTTGATGTTTTTGTAAAAAGGACTGGATGTTTCACTGTGAGGTTGAAACAATATAACAGGGTAAAAATTTGTAAACACCTTAGCTGGCACTTAATCACACTAAGATCTGCTATTGGAGTTGTGACAGCTGAGGGTTATCAGATTTAGGTCTGAGGAGGTTCTGTAGCTGGTCAGGGGTGGAGGGCACACTATTTTTTACCTGAATAACAACATGAATTGAACCCTGAAGATACTGTTAGTGCTCTGGAGCCTGCGGTTGTACACTAAGGTCCATTCCTGAGAAAGAGAGAAGTGATGGGTGCGGATAGGAATCACACACGTGAGATGTCAATATCAGAGTAACTGACATCTCACCAAGTTGAATTTGGAAGAATTGGAAAAACTAGATTTCTTCCTTCACTTCTTCCACAACATATCTGCACTTCTTTAGCTAGTTGAATTTCTAAGAGTCTCACTTGCAAGAAATTTGTAAAAAATAGAATTCTACATTATCTCAAAGTGACAACAGTAGAAGATAGCACTTCCACTCCTCAATTCTTCAAACATTAATTAACTTCAAGAAAACGTAGGATGCAACACTTCAATACATCGAGCTAGCTTGAAAAAGAATTTTGTGAATGTGGAGACAGCTTAGAGCAAATCACCAGCCACGCCAAAATACCAGTTGAACAGTATGATTGACTTGATGCTACAAGAGGAAGAGAAGAAGAAAGCACATTTGCTTAAACTGAAAGAACAAGAGCAAGTATGGTTGAAAAGAGCACACACTCAAGCACCTCCAGAAGACGGGGATAACTCACCAGGATTTGTGGGATACAAAGTAGAATCCGGGCACATGCCTGGAATTATTTTGGCAGTAAATTTTGATTTTCTGGGCAAAATTCTGGGCCCAAAATTCAAATTCACTACCAAAAGAAATCTGGGCACAATGCCGGGCACATGCCTGGATTCTACTTTGTATCCCGTAATTGCATTCAAGTTTACAACAGGGCGTGATGATTTTGCAATAATGCTTTTGAAGTCATTAAAGTTTGCAAATTGCAAGGATTGAAAAATTGTATTGACCCTGCCAATTATTTAATTTTACATACAATTAGGGGATACAAAGTTGGATCTGGCCACGCGGCCGGATCTGTGGCCAGATTTTATTTGGCTGTAAATTTGAATTTTCTGGCCAAAAACCTGGCCGCATGGCCAGGGTCAAATTTGTATCCCCTAAATTGTTCTGTTTGGAATGTATGTAAGAAATACAGTTGTAAAAAAAAATCCGAAAAGTATACCACACTATTCCCATTGTTGAATTTTCCAAACAGACATCTCCAACACCTAATCATTGCAAATAAATTACCTCACAACTGTAACCAATTTCACTTCATATCATAATTTTGTGCAACTTCCTTCACAGACATCCCAAAGCGCCACAAAAGTTACATTGTTAAAGTTGATTCCATCACATGAATCTTTAATTTTACAATGAAAGTTCCCAATCCAAAGGATTGGATTGGATCCAATGCTTTCAAGTTTTGATGTGAACTAACACCCACTAAAGGTGGTAGAAATGGTAGTGACACTGAGATTACGTATCTGAATGCCAATTTGACTGAGGACCAAGGACATTTGCTCAACCTTCACCCAGCAAGGCCAGAGTCTTGCACACCTAGCTTAGACTCAATTTGTCAAAAGGTTGGAGTTTATCACCTTTGATGAAATGACAAGAGTGTCTTCTAGATGCTTATTCTTCCTTTTATTTGTTTTATTGAATCATTGCAATAATCATTCTCAACTTTCATCTTCAAATTGAAAATGTTTCACATTTTCTTTTCATTCAAGACTAATATCTATATCATTAAGCCTCTAGTCCCTTCATTTCATAATTTTTATGATCAAAAAACACCTCAAAACCCCTCCAAAATGACTCATGTTTTGGAAACAGACTTGGACCTCTTGGAAGCTGAAGAAGAAGTGTTACATCAAGAATATGATGGGGAAGAAGATAATTTCCCCTGAAGAAAACCTTTGTAAGCATGGCTTGAATTCTATAGTTTTATTTCTCTCTTCCATTGCCCTGCTTTACCATAAGAGGAAACTCTGAGGTTAGAGCACATGGACAATTGGTGGTAGCCAGGGAGAGGCTCCTAGTTTGGGATGGCAGCAACCCTGTGCCAGCAACGCAACACGCCACAGCACACCTTTTTTTTGATGCATTGCTCTGCAACATGCAACACCAACAAGCAGCAGATGCTGTGTTGCAGGAAGTGCGGCAACAACAAAAGTCAAGACCGGGCTGCGCAGCGCCTTGACCGTTGTGCAACACAACACAGCAGGCACAACACACTGCAAACATTATTCGGCTTCCCCAAGTGGGCAGGAAAAAATGATTGGGAGTATGATTTGTCATAAAATGATCTATCACTCCACACCTAAGCCAGAACACACACACTACATATGTGCAACAGGCTCAGTGAATAGGTGGTTATCATGTACATACAGTTCTGCTCAGTTATCTGCTCATCAGCGTAAGTTATTCATATGTAATACATGCTGTAACTTTTTTCAGATTGACAAAAGTATTCAAAAGATTGACTACATACACCCACCCAGTGTTTTGGTGTGATCTCATCAACTCAACTGCATGTAACACCCTTTCTGTTACTATGAAACAGCTTCAGTAATATTGCCTGAGCAGCTACAGAATTCTATGTAGTGAATTTTTGCAACAATTTTTTCAAGGTCAAAAAAGTTTCATGTGGTATAACATGTGATTTATTCATTCTGATGGGCAAAAAACTGAGCAGACCTGTATGTACATGATAGATAACTATCTATTTAGCTTGCTGCACATATGTAGTGTGGGTGTTATGTCTCAGGTGTGCAGTATTGGATCCTTTTATGACAAACTGTACTATTAATCATTTTCCTCTTCCAACTTGGGGAAGTTGAATGATGTTCACAGTGACAGCACCAAAAAAGCTGATTTGTAATTTTTTGGGGGAAGCAACACAACAAACGTTGTTGTAGCCCAAAAAAACTACCAATTTGAGTGATTTTGTTGCGCTGCAGGTCAGGCCGCAACCTAAAATTTAATCCTACGGTGCGGTGTGATCAGAAAAACTGCAACACAACCACAGCGCAGCATGCAACATCTGCGCTGCTGGCCCAGGGTTGATGGTAGTAGCTTAAAAGCTCCCATACACAGGGTCCGAAATTCACACTCCCGACGCGTTACTGAAGCGTTTTCCAAGATTGTGTTATGATTGTCGCCTGTTTGTTGACAGGCGCTGCGCGGTGCGCAGCTTTGGAATGCACAGCAAACTTAATGAGCATGCCGTCTTGAACACAAGCTCAGTGTCAACATTCAGAGACGCCTGAAGTTCATCCGCATCAACACATACTTAGATACCTGGACACAGCCAGCCGTTTTCTATCTCTGAATATTTCCATGTTACGTGATTGTGATGCGATGGACGCGCCATTGACACAGGCTTTGGTAGCAGGGATTAGTGTTACATATGCGAAATCTCAATTCCTAAAGAGGGCTATGCACTGTTTTTAAGTGCTTTAAGTGCTCTATGCATTATAATATAGCGAGTAGTACATACATACAGACAGAGCCTTTATCGGCCCAACTCCCTACTCCCATTCCAAGAACTAGCTCCCGCTTGGACATAGACTAGTCTTGATTGTGCGATTCAAAGCCTCAAGCATCACTCGAAGTCAGCGCTAAAATGGATCACCCAGGTAATGATCAGGTGTCTAACACAATGGTTGTGACTATCACTTGCTGATACCTTAAACTCTTGTAACCCTTTGGCAGACAATCAAACTGAAGGATCCGTCAAGAAACAAAACAAGCAGGTTTCAGACTGGCTCCCTGACCACAACACCCCGTACTGCGAATCTGTGTCGGATTTTGTGAGATATCTTCTCGGACGAACTAATTCAAAGACCCCCGATCCCTCTAGTCCGACTCTCAATGAGATCTCAAAACTTCCTCAGCTTACACCATCTGAAATTATCAATGATACCCGCATATTTCAATTACATCTAGAGGCTGAATCTACGGTTAATACCGACCTCAAACATCCTCGCCGACAAAAGGCCTCGTGGTCACGACATAGGCAGCTGTTCCTACACGAACTGACAAACCTTGGAATTCCACGTGCAACACTTGACTGGATGCGATCGCCAGATTCCCCTTGGAACTCCATCATGTTAGCTTGTATAGCAAAACACTACGGATGGGGACTCAGCCAAGGCGTGTTCTCCTTGTACCCAATTAACCCCGGGCATAATGGAGATCCTATGTGCTTGGGTACGTTGGAAAGATGGCTTCGGGGGCAGACAGAAGAAATAAAGAAGCATTCGAAGAACCCTCGTCTGGTCTCGATCCGAAGGAAAGCTGAACAGCGCGGTAGAGTTAGTTGAAACCATACTAGTTGTGTACAAAACTCAATGGTCTGACTATGTGCTCTCTTCCCATTCACAGCTGTTCAGGTATCGCAAAAATACAATTGAAGCCGCTCTGGGCATACCGGCCTTGGCCCTACTTCCAAAGGCTACTTGTTGCTCAGACACCGAAGATGATGGGAACGGTGGCTATGTTTCAATCGATTTAGGCTGGCGTAGTTCGAAGTACAAAGAATTCTTACACATGATTGATGAAGTGTCTCGCCAGCATGGAAGAAATAGAGGGTCGGGTAGAATGGTTGCACGTCGGTTGGATTCTAAGAGGACA